TTTTGTGGTAATATATATATTTTTTTAATTGTAGTTCTGTGCCCAGAGTTAAGTCTTAAAATTGATTGTTGCAGTGTGCCCAGGTGGATGACTGGAAGAATGCGAAGACTATTTATGAATTCTCTGCTACGGACATCGATGGCAATGCAGTTTCCCTGGAGAAATACAGGTAATGTCTGTTATTCTCACCTATTTTTCCATCTAGCATAAGTGGATGTCGACCGGTAGAATTGCCTACTGGCTTTCCTTCTAACTTAAGGCCAAGTTCACCTTTTTGGAGCTTGTTAAAGCCATATTTAGGGGGCTCCTGCCTCCTATTCTCCAACTCTATTCTGGATGCATAAACTCAAACCTCCTGTTGCAGACTGATAAGCCACACCCTTGCAGATGGCAGCAGTGTTGTCAGCCTACGGTTTTCCTTCTTTTGGCTGTCTGACTGCCTATCTGTAATGGGGTCACAAAGTATTTTGCATAAGAAAACTGTATGCACTGATACCTGTTTCCAAACCTGCTAAAAAAGATTTGTATTGCGTGTTGAGGGACACAGGAAGTCTTAAGCAGGCCATAGACAATGCAAAAAACCGAACGGAAATTTCAAGTTCGTTTTTCGCATCATTGGTTGTGCCATCTGCGACACACAATTTTCGCATCACAATCGAAAGTGCCTGATCCAACATGATGGATTTTTATTAGAAAATTGAAACTTAATGGCACAATCATGAGCCATTTCACTTGACAAAACGTTTGGATTTCAACTTGTTTATGGCCTGCCTTAATCCATCGTATTTTACTGCTGCTTAGAGGATCGGAAAATGGCAAATTAATTATGTGACAGCCCAGAATAATTTCTCATACTACCAGCCTGCCTCATTGTGGGTTTTTTTTTTTTTTTTTTTTTTTGTCTGTTTAGTTGCAGCTATATGGCATTGTCATCAGCCTAGCTTTGGGAGCATTGCTCCCAGACTCTGCCATACTGTGCTGTATAGTTGGGATGGCCTGGAAGTGACCTTTTTTGGGTACTGGGTTCTGCTTGGGTCACTTTGGACTCTTGACATTCTGGCAAAAGTTAGCTGCAGGGTGCTTTCTTGGTCCAGCTGCTGCTAATACCTTAGGGTTTGCCCCTTTTTTCTGAAGACTTTCTGACTGAGATTGTGCAAGACTCTCATCCAAATCTCCTAGGTATGTGACTCTAATTCAGTGTTTCTCAACTCCAGTCCTCATGGACCCCCAACAGGTCATGTTTTCAGGATTTCCCTCAGATGAAACAGCTGTGATAATTACTAAGGCAGTGAAACTGATCAAATCACCTGTGCAAAATAATGGAAATCCTGAAAACATGACATGTTGGGGGTCCATGAGGACTGGAGTTGAGAAACACTGCTCTAATTTAAGTGAACACTAATGCACTCCTGTGCCTTCCCCTGCAAATCTTGTATCTGATTTTGTTGCAGCTTCTGAACTATCTGCAGAGACTGAATCTGAGTTGAACCAGTCTTTGCCTGGTAGGGGTCACTGTCTACTCTTACCACCAAGTTAAGAGACTGTTGTGGCTCTTATTGATGCTGCGCACACCACTCTGAAATGAGGGTAAGGCTGTTGCTTCAACCAGTGCTGCCTACAGCCTTGGATTGTTTGAAAACTTGAGTGCAGGGGTCTTGGCAGCTTTAAAAGTTTTAAAACTATTTATATCTCTCTGGACATTGGAAGCATCTGGTTAATTTACTTGCTCTGCCCCATGCATTTATGAGCCTTGTAACAGATTGAAGCTTTTGTACAGAAGTGGTTCAGTCCCTTATGTGATAGCATATAAGTGACAGATCCTCTTTGTAGGGGAGGGGTGCAGTGTTTGCAAGGAGGGGCCAGGAGAGGATCAGTGTATACAAACAGGCACCCTCACTTGCTGCCACTAAATGCCATTGCCAATTTTTAAATTCAATTACTGTTGTGTGGTTTTTTTTGTTTTTTTTTTTTTCCCTTCACTAGAGCTTTGAGAAGGAGCTGTCATTTGCCCTACCCTAAGGTAAACCAAGGGGCAGGGACAATGAGATGTCACTGGGTGATCCCGCCCCTTGGTTTACTTTAGTGGCAGGGAGAATGACAGTTCCTTCTTGGAGCTATAGTGAAGCAAAAAAAAAAGCCAGTAATTGCATTCAAAAACCAGCAATGATCTTTAGCAGCGGCAAGTGAGGGAGCCTGTCTGTATACACTGCATATGCTGCTCCTCTCCTGCCCCTTCCTTACACTCACTGCCCCACCCTCTCCCCCTTGCAAAGAGGACCTATCGCTTATATGCTATCACATAGGACAATTTTTTTTTTTTTTTCCCCCCCTATGTGATGGCAATAAAATTTTTATAAGTGACAGGTCCTCTTTGTAGGGGAGAGAGGGGTGCAGTGTGCATAAGGAGGGGGCAGGAGAGGAGCAGTGTATACATGAGAAAGTAGTGTATGCAGAAAGGCTCCCTCAATGGCCACCACTAAATGTCATTGCTGGTCTTTAAATGCAATTACTGGCTTTTTTTTTTTTTTCTCTTCTTCGCTACATCTCCAAGAAGGAGCTGTCATTTGCCCAGAGCTAAAGTAAACAAAGGGGTGGGTCACCCAGTGACCCCCACCCTTTGTTTACTTTAGTGGTGGGGCAAATGACAGCTCTTTCTCTGTGCTGTAGTGAAAAAAAAAAAAAGCTAATTACATTTAAAAACCGGCAATGACATTTAGCGAGTGAGGGTGCCTCTCAGTATACACTACAGGTGAAACTCGAAAAATTAGAATATCGTGCAAAAGTTCCTTTATTTCAGGAATGCAACTTAAAAGGTGAAACTAATATATGAGAGACTCATTACATGCAAAACACGATAGTTCAAGCTGTGATTTGTCATAATTGTGATGATTATGGCTTACAGCTCATGAAAACCCCAAATCCACAATCTCAGAAAATTAGATTATATGCAATCAATAAAACAAGGATTGTACATAGAACAATATTGGACCTCTGAAAAGTATAAGCATGCATATGTACTCAGTACTTGGTTTGGGCCCCTTTTGCAGCAATTGCTGCCTCAATGCGGCGTGGCATGGAAGCTATCAGCCTGTGGCACTGCTGAGGTGTTATGGAAGACCAGGATACTTCAATAGCGGCCTTCAGCTCTTCTGCATTGTTCGGTCTCTCATGTCTCATCTTTCTCTTGGCAATGCCCCATAGATTCTCTGTGGGGTTCAGGTCAGGCGAGTTTGCTGGCCAATCGAGCACCGTAATCCACAGTCATTGAACCAGGTTTTGGTGCTTTTGGCAGTGTGTCGTGCTGGAAAATGAAGTCAGCATCCACATAAAGCTCGTCTGCGGAAGGAAGCATGAAGTGCTCCAAAATCTCCTGGTAGATGGCTGCGTTGACCTTGGACTTAATGAAGCACAGTGGACCAACACCAGCAGATGATATGGCTCCCCAAATCAACACAGACTGTGGAAACTTCACACTGGACTTCAAGCATCTTGCAGTGTGTGTCCTCTCCATTCTTCCTCCATACTCTGGGTCCTTGGTTTCCAAATAAGATGCAAAGTTGATCTCAACAAAAAAGAGGACTTTGGACCACTGAGCAACAGACCAGGTCTGTTTTTCTTTAGCCCAGGTAAGACGCTTCTGACGTTGTTTGTTGTTCAGGAGCAGCTTGACAAGAGGAATACGACATTTGAAGCCCATGTCCAGGATCAGTCTGTGTGTGGTGGCTCTGATGCACTGACTCCAGCCTCAGTCCACTCCTTGTGAAAGTCCCAACACTTTTGAATGGCCTTTTCCTGACAATCCTCTCCAGGCTGCAGTCATCCCTGCTGCTTGTGCACCTTTTTTCTTCCACACTTTTCCCTTCCACAGAACTTTCTATTAATGTGCTTTGATACAGCACTTTGGGAACATCCAACTTCTTTTGCAATACCCTTTTGAGGCTCTCCCTCCTTAGGGAGGGTGTCAGTGATGGTTTTGTGCACAACTGTCAGGTCAGCAGTCTTTCCCATGATTGTGATTACTACTGAACCAGACTGAGACCATTTAAAGGCTCAGGAACCCTTTGCAGGTGTTATGGCTTAATTAGCTGATTAGAGTGGGACACTTTGAGCCTAGAATATTGCACCTTTCCACAATATTCTAATTTTCTGAGATTGTGGATTTGGGGTTTTCATGAGCTGTAAGCCATAATCCTCACAATTATGACAAATCACAGCTTGAACTATCTTGCTTTGCATGTAATGAGTCTATCTCGTATATTAGTTTCACCTTTTAAGTTGCATTACTGAAATAAAAAACTTTTGCACGATATTCTAATTTTTCGAGTTTCACCTGTACTTCCTCATGTATACAAGGTTTACCTCCTCTCCTGCCTTTCTCTGCCACCCCTCATTGGGGCTGGGTCTCATTATTGGCACCTGTATTGGCTCCCTTTTTTTTTTTTTTTTTTTTTTTTTTTTTTTTTTTTTTTCTTTAGCAAAATGTTGATGGGGTTATTTTCGGCTGATATGTTTCGTCCTCTGAAATTTTAGTTTATCTCTACAACTAATGACTTCACTGCCTGTGGTGTTTTGCACTTCTTACAGTCTACAGTCTGTCTACTCCTCCTGTAGGCAGCTGTATAAACCAAAGGTTACATTTTTGTCCCTCTGTGGACTCCCAAGAAAATTATTTTTACAGGTTTTATGGATTTAAAATACAATTTAACGTCCAACTAAAGCCTGGCTAATTTTTGCAGATCCTCTTTCAGGAATGTGTGTTTTTTTTTTTTTTTTTTTTTTTTAGTTTTTATGCTCAGTGCTTGAAGCCCAGGAATGGGTAGGTGGCTGGTATCTTGTGCAGGGTGGATTTGTCCTTTAGCAAGAGTTTTTAGTTTGTAGGTTTTCACTGTACTGAACTGATCTCTCCACAGGGGCTATGTCTGTATCATTGTCAATGTAGCATCTAAATGAGGAAAAAACACCTGTAAACTACACTCAGCTTGCAGAAATTCACGCCAATTATGCTGAGAAAGGTTTACGTATCCTCGGATTTCCCTGCAATCAGTTTGGAAAGCAGGTATAGTTAAGTATGCATATTTGTTCTTTGATACATTTTTATAGTAAACATGGGCATTTAAAAAAAGCAGTATTAAACCCAAAAGCAAACATGTCACAGCTAAATTAGTCTGAGTTTTTTTGGCTTGATTTCTTCTATTTTCATCTGGTGATTCAGCCAGTAACTCTGCTGTTTTTCAGAAGTTCTAGCTCTAGCAGAATCTATCAGCTTAGAGACAATCCATTTACCACTGGCAGGGGTGGTTAAAATGATCCGCTTTTATTTTATTCATGTAAAACCTGAAAGGAAAAAGTGTGCTGCAACTGATCATAACGTGTTAGCTGGAGTTTGGCTTCAATTTATTTGTATTCAAATCTGCTAGTACATTTAACTCTCATCCCCCAAACTATGCTGCTGTGTCCTGGCTCACTCCTCCAGAGTGGTGTCCCCCTAATACAGGTAGTGTTACTGGCAGATCATGAAATTAAAAAGCGGGGTGCCAAAGAGAAATTATGCAGCCACCACATCTAATTGGTAAGCTGCAATATAATGCATTTGTGTTTTTGGGTTTAATATTGCTTTAAGCCATATAAAGGTGTCCATCCGTCGCTCAAACTTTGTATTTAAAAAAAAAAAAAAAAAAAAAAAAAAGTGTAGAGGGATTGTAACACCTATCAGGATTTTATTGCTGTCTGTGCCCCAGTTGGGGAGATCCTCTCTCTCTATTTTGTCTTGTTTACCATTTATCCCAAAAAGTGAAAGTAAAGAAAAATCCCAAATTTTGGGTTGTCCTAGGAAAGGTAAGACCGGGGATATCTTTTAATGGGGACATTAGTTCTGTAACAACTAAGGATTCCCTCACTTTTGAATGCCTCGCTTCACTTCATGCTTTGGCTATAGGATAGGAAGTGAAGGGCAATCCCACCAATAGAAGTGGGTTTAAACAAAAAAAAAAAAACCTGATTGGTTATAACCCTCCCTTACTCTATCCAAAATGGGAAGTTTTGTATGTAGTTCTAATTTAAATCCTGATACGCACAGGATTTAAATTAGAACTACATACTGATTTTTTTTTTTTTTTTTTTTTTTTTTTTTTCCTTCTTGCCAACCTCCTTTTTGGTTCTGACAGGGAGACGCCACCCTCTCATTAGACTGGCTTCTGTGCAGCTGTACTCATGGCGATATGTACCCAGGTTTAGGTTATATAACTGCAACTGGGGATAGATGCAAGATAAAATGCCAGGGGCTGAATGGCTGGCAAGTCTCCAGGGCTCAGACTGCCACCTCCCCCACCCCATGTATCCTGCCCCAAAGATCAGCTTAAATGGCCACTGATAGCAGAATTTTCAAATTGCACAACATCACATCCATGAGGCTGGAAAAATGTGACCTTTTTCTTTCACTACCATAATCTGTGCTTGCTCAAAGTACTGTTTGTGCTCTGTAGGCAGGAGCATGCATAAAAGACTGACAAAGCAGAGCACACTCCCACATTGCAAGTTGTGTAGTTTTTCAACGTATTGAAAAGCAAGTACACAACAATTTACTTGTCTCTATAAACTGCAGAAAGAAAATGGCAGCTCTTGTATTTATGGCACATGTTTTTAAAAGTGTGGAACTATGGGCAGAGCTTTAGGAGGATAGTTTAGTTTTTGCTCACTTTTTTAGTCTTTGTGATGAAACTTGTAATAAAATTTAAAGTGAAAAAATGTGTGGTTTTTTTTTTTTTTTTTTTTTTTTTTTTTTTTTAAGGAACCTGGGGATGAAGCTCAAATTAAAGACTTTGCCGCATCCTACAATGTAAAATTTGACATGTTCAGCAAGATTGAGGTCAATGGAGATGGTGCCCATCCATTGTGGAAATGGTTGAAGGAGCAGCCTAAAGGACGGGGTACTCTTGGAAAGTAAGCACTTGTCCCAAGCAAAATTATGGCATAACTGTCCTTGTGATGTTCTTGTATGTTGTGCTGAGTTATTCCAGGTCACCATTAGGACATCAAAGTGGGAGATGGCCTGCTCTAATTCAGAAATGAGAACAAAATTGGTATACAGTGTGTGTGTGTGTGTGTGTGTGTGTGTGTTCCCCAAAAAAGCAGAGGGTAAAGGCTTGGCCATCAGTATAGCCTTTAGACTCCCTGCATCTGAATTTGCCTCCGTTACTGACTTGCCATGGCTGGAATATTTGGAAAGTACATCTTTTAACTTTTTAAAAATGCTTTTCTGAAAAAATAGTCAATCTCAAAATTCATTTGTAACATGGCTTATCTTGCACATTGACAGGTGTATTTACAGAAGATACACCTGTACAGTTTTCTTCAAAAAACATAAAAACAATATGTTGCGCTCCTTCGACTATTAAATCAATATTTAATAAACTTGTGAAAAACAGAATCATGTGACATCAAAATGTCATCCCATGCTCATCATACAAAAAATATTTAATATAAATTAATCAGTCTTCAATGAAAAATGTGACTTTTCCCAGTGAATCAAATCAATAATTCTAGGTGACTTCCTTTTTAATGAGTATAAGATGTGCGCTCACCTCCAGATTACCCTGTAACAGGCTAATAACGCTTTTTGTCCACTCAATGGGACTGATGTTTGTTGCACCATATGAAGAGTGGTGAGTCCCTCTCAGGCTGCTTCCCGTCTTACTCCTGCTGGGATCTTACTCTTATACTGCTTATATGTATTGATTTAATATTCAAAGAAGGAGCGCAACATATTACTTTTGAATTATTTGCACATTTAAAGAGGATGTGCTGTATGTTTGCGATCCTGTAATAGCAGTGAGTGGCTTGCAAGTTACATCTTTGTTTTTAGTCAGTTTTCTTCATTATAAGATCATGGCAGACTTCTGGGTGGTGTGTGTCTTCTCTAGAAGATATTATGCCTGATAACACAAATCTATACAGTATGTGGCATCCAGGAAGTAGACTTTATTCCTGGGCACTGCCTAAATGTGCTCTTTGTGGTGGAAGCGCGCTCAATTGCACACTTCCAGAGCTGTTAGTAGTAGTGTTGGCTATTTGGGAGAATAGGCTCATGATCGTGTGCTGACTACGTTGCAGACTATTCCCAGGGCTGTTTCTCTCCTCTGTCAAGGGGAAAAGATTCATTGAATCTTCTCTGTCTAGAGGTGAAGTCTGTGTAAATGTGTTTAAATGCAAAGTGTTGGTGCCAAATTGGTCAGTTTGGGTTTTTTTTTTTTTTTTTTTTTTTTTTGTTTTTTTGTTTTTTTGGGTGGGGGGAAATGTCAGTGCAAGCAGCAGTGTGTTTTTGGACAAAAACAAAATGCATACTCTTGTAGGTCCCTACTACAGGTACAAAAAAAACATGTGATATTGTCGAGTAAGGGAATTTTAGCACGCTTTAGAGGTGGGTCATGGTACTAGTGTAAAAAATGTACAGCTAAAGTTTAAAAAAAGAGAAAAAAAAACTTTTACTATTATGGCCAAGTGTTCCAAAATTACCATTAACCACCAAATGAAAGCCCAATCTGGTATAATCCACCTGGATACCGACAGTAATTGTGATATACAGTGCAAAAAAAGTAGGTGGAATTGTCTGGTTTGCTACTGTAGTAATTCAACTTTTTTTTTTTTTTTTTTTTTTTTTTTTTTTTTTTTTCTTTCAGTCAAGGCACATTTTTTAGAATCGTGCATAATCCCAGGGCACTCCAGTCGTTCACACACCTGGAGCTGCACCCAAGCACACATTTTAGGGCAGATTCCCAAACATCAATTTTTTTTTTTTTTTCTTGTTCATACCAGCATGATTTTTAAAATTGCACCAAAACACATGGTACCATACGTTGTGTTTTTTTTTTTTTTTTTTTTTTTTTTTTTTTTTTTTTTTGCAGGCAAAAACGTATATGCATTTGCTAGATGTGTGGGGGTGTCATTAAGATTTAATATTGTGTGGTACAGGAAAATGTGTGTTTTTGCTCATGTGTTCCCACACTGCACTTGGTGTGAACAGGACCTAGTTATCTATAGGTTGTAACCCCTCCTCCCCCCAGATCTCCCCTTATTCTGTCCTTACAGTAGTGACGGCAGCAGGGAGGGGGAGAGAGCCAGGAAGAGGTTTGGGGTGTGCTCTCTTCCCCCGCTCCACCTACTTTCCTTCCACATTCAGATCGAAGTGATCCTCTTATGATGCAGGAGGCAGAGAAGCTGAAGCTCAGCCCACACTTCTTGCTGGCAATTATGTCATTGGTTTGTAGGATATGGTCAGGCTCCCAACTCCGCTTTCTGTTTTGCTGGCAAGAGTGCGGGGGAAGTGCGGGCTGAGTTCTCGGTCTCTTCTGTACACAGGAATTTACAGTGCTCTCTCATGTAGCTAAGAGGATTGAGGATCACTCAGTTTGGGCTGTTGCCGCAACACCTCTGTGGACTCCTCACAGCACCTCAGGGTGCCGTGGCACCCTAGTTGTGAAAGTGTTATAGTAATGTTGCATAAAATGTGATGTGACCCTCATCTAAGTCACAGCAATAGACAAAAACAATGTGCTTAAGCTAACACACAAACAATTCTAATGTCTCATGTATTTGTTGAACACGCCCATTAAACATTCAGTGCTGGAGGAAAAAGTAAGCAAACTCATAGACCAGTGGTCTCCAAACTGCAGCCTTGGGGTCGGATGTGGCCCTTTGCCTGCTTTTATCTGGCCTTTAGGACACTTCCTCCCACTTATGACATACTATTCTGTCAACGAATACCAATTCGTTCCTCCTATTACTAGCACTAGCACAATATCCTCCACTAGTCCTCCCAATGACACCAATTATGGGGCACTATTCCTCCCCCTAATGCCAAATGTGGCAATGTTTACTCCCACTGATACCAGGAAAATTCCCCACTATTTTTTTTTTTTTTTTCGAGATACAATAAACTGGCCCTTTATGTAGAAAGTTTGGAGACCCCTGTCCTAGACTAACTACTTCAACAGAGGCTGAATAGTAAATTTCACACCTGGAGTCCAATTAATGAAATGAGTTTGGAGGTGTGGTGGTTTAGAGCTACTTTTAATAAGACACTCAAATATTTTAAGATTGCTGAGTAGTTAAATTGTTCAGTAAGAATACTCGGCACCATTTTGCATAAAAGCGCACAGCTTACCAACATCAACCCAATGGTGAAGTATGGTGGAAGGAATATCCTGATTTGGGCATGCTTCACTACCTGAAGACCTGAACCACTTGCCATTGTTGAGGGGAAAATGAATTCCCAATTAGAATTATTTGTGTTATCAGCTTAAGGCACATTGTATATGCTATAAAATTTGATTGGATCCTCAAGTCACAATAGACAAATTGCTGCAGAAAACCAGTTAATTCTAGGGGGTTTACATGCCTGTTTCTTGTCACTGTATGCACAATGACAAACCTGTCAAGGTTGCAATATTGGGTTTGGATGTTTTTGACCATGGTCATGAAGGGGTATATTTTATATTGTTTAGGCCCTAGACTCTAGTGTGTACTGTCTTGGAGAAGGCCCAGGAAAGACCTGCTGGTAACACTTGTTGGGACCGCAACCTTCGCTAACCAGCTTAAATTTTGTAATGGTTATTGGGACAGCAGTTGTAGTTTCTGTACCGTTGGTTCCCTTTTTTTTTTTTTTTTTTTTTTTTTAAGGCCAGAAGGGAATAACTTGGACCACACATTGTTGTATACTGTGCTTTCAATGATATAACTAGTATAAAGGATCAAAAGTGAAATGAATGACTTGCTCAGATATACTTGTTGGGATTATTAAAGGAGTAAGCTTTTAGTCTGCCCAGTACTTTGCTATATCTGGTTGCAAATATTAGACTATGAGCCTGACTCAATATATCATATTGATATATAGTGGTTTTTTTTTTTTTTTTCTGTGGTCAGAATAGTGGTCCAATACATTTTAGGACTGGTTCCCACAGGAAAGTGTGCGATATGGTTTTGACAACTCATTTATTGGAACAGGCTGCAATATGCACTAACGTAGGAAAAAGTTGTGCAAGTTCCATCTGCAAGAATACACAAGATCAGCAGGAGAGACCTCTGCATCATACATCATTTTGAAGGCAACAAGTTTTTGAAAAATATAAAAGTGTGGTGGTGTGTGTGTGTGCGCACTTGAGAAGATTTCTTGCCTTCCTCATTTTGTGTAGCTGATCATCATTTCATTGTGGAATACTACACCTAAAATTACCCAAACGTCATGTTTCCACATATGCACAATCTAACCATTTTTTTTTTTTTTTTTTTTTTTGTTTTTTTTTTTTTTTTTTTTTTTTTTTTTTTTCCCCTCTTCTAGTGCAATTAAATGGAATTTCACAAAGGTAAGTTCCCTAACCATATGCTAGAGAATAAATATATAATTTTTTGCTATTCCCTTTTTACCACCTTTCGGTAAATTTTTTTTATTTTTTGCAGTTTCTCATTGACCGCAACGGTTTTGGTGGTGAAAAGATATAGCCCCATGGAAAATCCGGATGTAAGTAGTTATTTAATGTGTTGCATAACTACACAGTTATGTGATATGTAATGCACGATCGGGCATTTAACTAGTTCAGCCTTTTAATCAGGGTGCATTCAGGTATCTTCAGGGATGCCTTGGCAAAATGCCTAAAAATTGTTTACAAGCCAGCAGATGAATGAAATCTGCCTTTTCATAACACACAGCCACAGGTGCACCATGCAAGGATGTATTTGCTTTGGAAGAATAAACCTCCTCCAATTTTGGGTGTCCTACATGTGTGGACGTGCTGCTGCATTATGTAAATCTTTTAGTGTGTGGTCTGTTTTTTTGTTTTTTTTTTTT